CAGGATACCCCTCTCTCCTACTGAAATATCACATCAAACCATAACAAGATGGCCTCCTTGTCAGTGGATCCAGTGACGGAGCCACGGATGTACCAGCAAACGCTCCTACAAGATGGGCTCTGTGATCTCCTGGATGCTAACAAGTTTGTGGACTGCGTTCTGAAGATCAAAGACAAAGAGTTTCCTTGTCATCGGCTAGTGCTAGCTGCAAGCAGCCCTTACTTCAAAGCCATGTTCCTTTCAGACCTGGAAGAGAGCAAAAAGCGGGAGATTGTTCTAAAAGACATCGAACCTGGAGTCATGGAAATGATCCTGAGGTACATATACACCTCGGATATCAACCTGACTGAGCATAACGTCCAAGACATTTTCATGGCGGCCAACATGTACCAGATTCCATCAATCTTCAGCGTGTGTGTCTCGTATCTGCAGCAGAAGCTGGTTCTTGGTAACTGTCTGGCCATCTTTAGACTGGGACTGTTGCTGGACTGTCCACGTTTGGCTATGGAGGCTCGGGACTTCATCTGTGACCGGTATGCCCTCATCATTCGGGACCAGGACTTCCATCAGTTGGGTCCCAGCGAGTTGGCGGCTATCATCACATGTGACTCTCTGAATGTGGAACGAGAAGAGTTGGTGTTTGAATCTCTCATGGACTGGGTGGAGTTCGACACGGGAGAGAGATTGAAGGACCTGCCGCAACTTCTACACTGCGTACGTTTCCGTCTTATACCGACGAGTTACTTTAAAGAGAAAGTCGAGGGCCACAGATTGATCAGGACAAATCAGGAGCTCAAGAAGGAGCTTCAGATCGTCAAGGATGCACAGAAAGGAGTGCTACACAGGGTCAAAAGGGTCAAGAAGGAAGGCGAGACAGCATATTCCGAGGACGAGGATGAGGAGGGTATGCTGCCAGGAATCCTAAATGACAATCCACGTTTTGGAATGTTTCAGTCAGACCTTTTATTGATGATTAGCGATACAGGAACGGTAGCGTATGACGTTGATGCAAACGAGTGCTTCGTGGCATCTTCATCCACCGAGATCCCTAAGAACCATTGCAGTCTTGTCACAAAGGAAAATCAGATCTTTGTCGCTGGAGGTCTGATGTACAACGAAGAGAACAAAGAACAGCCGTTCAGTTCCTACTTTCTTCAGGTAACGCATGGTCAAGTCTTGCTAATGTTGCTAAATATGTTTGTAACAAATCAATGACTCAAAAGCATCATGAATCTCTGGTTCCAAAAATACATTTGTGAGAATGACCCACAGGGTCCATTTTGCTTCAGAACAGCTGTTAAAGCTTTGAACCTCATGTTGCCTGCATGACATTTTCCTCATGTAATTCAAGAGAAACCTTTGAAGGGATTGTGTAGGATGAATCAAACTAATAACTATATTTGTATGAGAAAGGAACAATGCTTTTAGATCATGATATTTTAATCTGAGCTCTTCTTCATCCTACAGTTTGATCCCATGAGCTCTGGATGGTTGGGGATGCCCTCACTACCAGACCCTAGGTGTCTGTTCGGTCTGGCGGAGGCTGAGAACTCCATCTATGTGGTGGGAGGAAAAGAGCTGAAGGAGGGAGAACGTGCACTAGATTCTGTTATGATCTACGACAGACAGTGAGTACAAGCATATAGCAAATAACATACATTGACAGAGCACGTAGTAGCAGCGGTTTTCAAACTGAAGGCGGGTTGCACAAAGCGTGAGAATATTGATGCGTTCATGCATGTCAGAAATATGAATAATGTAAGTTCTGAAATTCTCAGTTAAGATTTATTTCTCATTTTTTTAACATGACGCACTAAATGCATATCTGTCAACCCTCCCGTTTTCCCCGGGAGTCTCCAGTATTTCACACCCATCTCCCACTCCCCTCCCATTTTGTTATTTCTCCAGGTAATTTTAATGGCCCAAACCTCGTTATATGAATAGTCCCATCAATATATTATTCCAAGATCATCCATTTGCCAGATCTAATTTGAAACTCATCCTACTCACACATTTGACTCATCATACAAATTTCAACCCATTTGTGACCTCAAACTGGCAACCTACAACCTTGCACTGTTGATATCTGTGCAGGTAGTGGATGTATAGATCAGTCTAACGAATCCTTCACTGAATGAACCAGAGCTACAACTGAATCAACAATCAATCATTTGACTCACTTTACATTGACATGTCACAGTTCCATGTCAATAAATAATTAGTTACTTCAATGCAGCCATTAGGCCAATTTTACAAGTTTTTCCCTCTCATATTTCACTCTTTTTGGTAGATCTTGAGATTGATTATACCTCTCCAGGTCGGCCCTTGCCATAACCCCTGATCAACAGAATGTTGTCTGTCATGGCTGAAGGCTAATAACTATACATTTTCACACAGGTCATTCAAATGGGGAGAGTCAGACCCTCTTCCATACGCAGTTTATGGACATGGAATTGTTTCACACAAAGGACTGGTCTATGTGATAGGTGGCAAAACTGAGAGCAAGTGAGTAAGGAATCTGGTTTTATCATACTTTACAAACACATTATGCCAGGTCGTCTTTGGTTTTCATAACCAGACTTGAAATGTGATGTACAGGAAATGCCTGAGGAGAGTATGTGTCTATGACCCCTCTAAGTTTGAATGGAAGGATCTGGCACCCATGAAAACCGCCCGCTCGCTGTTTGGCACTGCTGTTCACAAAAACAAAATCTATGTGGTGACTGGAGTCACTGATAACGGCCTGACTAGCAGTGTGGAGGTCTATGACATCGCCAGCAACTCGTAAGTCACACTTTTGTCGTATTTTGTCAAGACTCCTTAACACAGGCAAGATGCTCACTTGTGTGTCTCCTGCTTAGCTGGTCAGAGTTTGTGGAGTTTCCTCAGGAGAGAAGCTCTCTTAACCTAAACGAACTGGGCGGCTGCTTGTATGCTGTGGGGGGTTTTGCTATGATGCCCAATGAGACCACAGAAAAACTGGAGCCCACTGAAATGAATGACATATGGAGGTGAGTATTTATGTTCAGCTCAAACTGGTTTAATGAGACTTATTGGCCTAATGAAACTTGGCCATATATTTGAAACTAAAGTTGAAATTTGAGAATTAAATTGCGATTTGCGTGACAGGTTTGAGGAGGAGGAGAACTGCTGGAATGGGATCCTGAGGGAGATCCGTTATGCTGCAGGGGCCACAGTGGTTGGAGTGAGTCTGAACACCTTGAGACTCACAAAGATGTGATCTACAGCTATCATCTATTGACAGAATACACAGTAAACAATGTCGCCCGCATCTTCATAAAAGAGCAATACATATTCCATTGAATCATTTGTCACAGACTTATAGTTAGTTTGTGATTGATCTTAGCAGTGTTTGATGCTGCTGTTCCAAGAAAACGCAGCAGATGGAGACAAACACAAGACTATTTTGTTTTCATAAGAATACTTTGTTAGTCATTTTGGGTAATTAGATGTTGAATAATTTGATTAGTTAGTTTGTGATTGATCTTAGCAGTGTTTGATGCTGCTGTTCCAAGAAAACGCAGCAGATGGAGACAAACACAAGACCATCTATTTTGTTTTCATAAGAATACTTTGTTAGTCATTTTGGGTAATTAGATGTTGAATAATTTGACTTATTTAAATAACCATGTACATTGATTTCTATCATTCTATTATGTTATTTTAGATGACAACTACAATTGAACATTTTGCAATTATGACCAAGTACAATGTTCTTACATTCAAAAAAGAGAAATAAATGGCAGTGACTGAACAATAACCTAATCTACTGTAGACAATGACCAAACTAAAAAACACGAACAACAAAACACAATCGTCTGTGGGAAAATGTCAACACAAATAGTGTCATACTCCCTCCAAAGCCACATGAAAATAAAAAAGTAAAGGTGAAAGAATACAAGGATTTTCTATTCTGTATGCCATCTGATACTGCTTGACATCATGACTTTCATGATGGGTCGTGGATGGAGCTTCAGAGTCATTTTTTCATCATGAATAATAAACAGCTAGTGCTGCGAACACAAACACTCTAGAATAAAGGGATCTGAACACCTCTCGGGTTTTGGAACACTGTGCATAGACCAAAATATTCATATAATTACATAGACAGAAATGAAAACATTACAGCAATAAAATAAGATTGCAATTCCCAATTCATAAAAAATATTGTGTAAAAACATTTACAGATCTGAAACTATAAGATTCTTGTCTACAAGTGCAAAAATGAGCAGTTAAAAACAATAAAAAATAGATTTTTAATTTAGAAGATCAAACATTAGTCTGCGTGAGACTGTGAGAAGTGGATAAACACTAAATAGTGGAGAACAACTGATTTTTTCATTAATAATATATAATACAATCTCTACCAATTCACCTGTTAAATGGCTGCTGTACGTTCAGCCCAAACACATTCATGAATATGAACATCACCAAAAACACAAACCATCAAGGTTTTTGAAAATGTTAACAAAACAAATGAGCCGTATACGTGAGCCGTATACATAAATTTCCATCTGTTGACAACATACAAATTGTAGTCATTCACAATTTCGACAAAGATGGAGAATCAATTGAATTTGATTTTTAAGGTGCTTCAGAACAAATACAACAAACAGAAATGATAAAACTATGACAAAATGTAAGGGCTAAACAAATATTTATAAAGCCCCTTACACCAACAAGCCAGTAAAGTGCCAGAAACAGAATCTACTGACATTTCCACCACCAACAAGATCTGTGTTACTCACAAGTCTCCGACTACGCATATATATATATATATATATATATATATATCAGGTCATCACCCCATAACAAAGTTTTACATAAAGCATCTAAACCAATAAAAAGTCAACCGAAAGCTATATAAACCGAATATGCTGTTGTCTATTTATTATTCTCTTAATATTGTAGGCTGCATAAAGCATATATGTCTTACATTTAGCATTCTACATCTGGGTAATAGTTTTAGTATCATACTTATTACTTTTTGCCTAACTAGGTTTATCATAGCATGGAGGACTCATTTGATATGGGAACGGAAGGGATAATTGAGAATATGACGTGAAAACCAAATAAGACTAACATGATATCTCAGACTCTTTGCTACATAAAAAGTATCTCTGCATCACAAAAAAAACAATAGTATAATACAGAGCAGTAGTTACAGGTTCCTGGAGTCTGTCCTTCCAGCGGAGTAGAGCGGCGTAAGGGAACGCAGCTGAGAATGTGACGGACCCCCTTCCACTGAGTGGAGCATAGATGATGCAAAAGTGACCACGCCATGCAGATGTGGGCTAATATCCCTCAGTGTTTCCATCCCGACCGGCAGTTCTTGGTTTGCAGCAGCTTGTGTTTGATTGGTTATAGCGGAGGAGTCCAGCAGGGGAGGGTTCCTGACCTGGGAACACTTCTCTCGGTGAGCTTTCAGCATGTTGGAGAAGCGGAACCGCTGGCCGCACGATTCACAGGGGTAAGGCTTCTCTCCCGTGTGCGTACGCCGGTGCCGCTTCATATTGGGACGACTCGTGAAGCTCTTCCCACAGATCTCACAAATATATGGTTTCTCTCCTAAAAAGAACCAGCAGACCTCTTGGACTGACTGTATAAAGTATTTCGAAGTGCTATACGTGTGTACAAGCATCTCACCTGTGTGTGTCTTCATGTGTTCATCAAAATACTGTTTCATATTGAAGTCTTTCCCACACCACTGACACATAAACTGCTTGTGTCCGATGTGGATGCTCATGTGAGAGCGCAGTTGGTACTTATACTGAAAACGCTCACTGCAGACCTAAAGGACAAGGAGTGGACAAATTTCAAACATGGCCAGCAGTTAATAATGGAAATTATGAAACAGAATGTTCTGGTCCTGGATGCTGATTGGTCAATTCTGTGCTAAAATCAAAACATTATTGGTTATTGTTTATTTTACTGTGCAGAAAACACTTATTGTTTACTCTTGCTGGGTATCAATACAGATTTTCTGATTCAAAAAACTCATGTCATTTTCACATATCACAGTATATTTTAACATCAACTTTTAAACGTTAATAATAAAAAAAGGACAGTGTTTTAGACTGATCCAAATCAGTAACTCATCTTTTTTGATCTATCTAAAGGATTCATTCGTTTTGGGAATCGAGTTATTGGTTGCGCTTAATGTTTTTGATTCACTAAAAAGAACCTGTTCATAAGAGTCATTCAATAATCAGACTACACAGGTAATGTTATGTTTGTTATATTGTGTAGCCGGTGAGGACAGCTCAGCTTTTGTTGTGTTGCTGAGAGGAAATGCTGATAAAGGGAATATTCTAACTATGCAAATATATATATATTAATATATATATTAGGGGTGCAACGATACACGTTTTCGTATTGAACCGTTCGGTACGCATTACAAACCGAACGATTCGTTGGACTAATCCTTTTACAGCATATTATTCTAGTAGGTTAGATTAATGCGAGTGCGCATTTAGAGTGCGTTCTTTCACTGCATGATTTAGTCTATTAAAATGCATTTAGCATTACAAACCGAACGATTCGTTGGACTAATCCTATTACAGCATATTATCCTATTAGGTTAGACTAGTGAGAGTGCGCATAGAAAGTGCGTTCTTTCACTGCATGCTTCAGTCTATTAAAATGCATTTAGAATGATCACAAAATTCAAGATATGGGAGCAGAAAATGTATATATTTACATAATTTTATATAGTTAATCAATATCACAGAAGAGTGCCGTTTTTTCTCTCCAAAAATCAGCATGATTACAAATGGTTTTTACAACAGTTCAATAAGCAAGAATTTAATTAATAGACTTACGTTTTAGATAGCTTATTGCCTGTTTTTGCTCAACTTCGCCAACAAAAATAATTCCAAACACAGCCACAGCACTGTTTTGCGTCTCTGAGCACCATGACAGTGTTTCGTTCCTGAATGAATCACCCGTTTAAATGATTCGGTTCAATCGCAATGACTCACTTATTAACAGTGACTTGCTGCCACCTACTGGCGGTTTTAATTTCACATTTAAAGTATCTTTTCATTTTTTTTTTTTATAATTTCAAATATCAGTATTTAACGTTTTATGTTTAAAATATCAAAACATTATTTATGCATTTGTAATTGTATGTTAAATGCATGCATGTCCTGCATTAAACAGTGTGTAAATGCATCTAAATGCCCCTTCTAATGCAGCTTCTGTGT